TACTACTACTAGTTATTAGTCTTCGTTTACTACGTACTACTACTACGTACGTACGTAACGTTTACTTACGTTCTTACGTACTACTACTCGTACTACTCTCTCTCTCTCTCTCTCTCTCTCTCTCTCTCTCTCTCTCTCTCTCTCTCTCGTAGTAAACACTTTTTTGCCTACTTTGATACTTCGCCTACATTCCATCTCTCTCTCTCTCAAAATCACACACCTACGTAATCAGTTATTCAAAAAGCAGACCACCTAGCGCCTAGGTGGCCCGCCTAGGCAGTCCAAAAGGCCTTGGCGCATTGCCCAAAGCTAGGCGGCCAATCTAGGTGGTGGTGCTCGCCTAGGCGGGAGGCCAACACCCAGCCCAAGGCAGCCACCCATGGCCTCCACCTTGCCTTAGGCGGGCAAAATTATTTTTTTTTCAAAGTTCAACAAAAATTGATCAAAACATCACCCGTTGATATTAGATTTAATTTTTGATGTTCTATAAATCTGTTGGAGGTGTTTTAGAAGATTTTGAATCCTTAGAAGCATTTTTTACTATACATCCTTTTTGGATTCGACTGGGCCGCACAGGTTCTGGGCACCCGCTTAGGCGCTGGGCGGAGGACCTGCCTAGCGCTTTTTGAAACATTGCAGGTAATGGAATGATGAATTGTTTTTTAAAAACCTTAGTAATAATTTTGTAGCATTTTGAAGTCAACAAACATATGTATGTAGTGAAACATTTTTCAGTAATAAGGGTATGCAGCTCCTTGATATCTCTGATAATCACACTGAAAATAATTAAATAGAGAAATCAAAGTGCTGCTTAAATCTTTCCTCGATTTCAGTGTCAGCACTATTCTGAAGCTCATCTATGTAATGACCAAATTCTTCACTAAAAATTACATCATTGCATATTTGAGTAAAATGCTTTTTGATTAAGCAACTCTTATGTTATCTCTGATAATTACACTAACAATAATTAATAGAGCTGCTTAGATCTTTCATTGGTCTTAGCTTTGGCACTCTTCTGAAGCTAATTCTATGGTATGACCAGATTCTACACTACAAATTACATAATGACCCTTGGAGACAGCTTCCAGCCTCAACAAAGGGACTATGGACTGCCAGGGACCTGCTCAAGAGAAACCGCAAAAGAACCGGTTCTTACAACAATGAGGAAGTAAGGAGAAAAGGAATGGTGGCCTTACCTTCACCAATAGAATGTTTATCTCTTGTGCCATATATTGTCAAGCGTGGGCATGGCAGAGATCATTTGATGAGCAGTCTATCACTACAGCCTCCCAATAGAGAGGAAAAAGAAAGAGCTTGTTCTTTGAAACAATTCCATAAACACCATTGGCGTTCTAATTATTTTATGCTTTGGGCTTGAAGTATTTCTTCTGGGCCTCCCATGCAGTTCAGTTTCAGCCATAAAAGGGGTAGAAAGTAGACAAGGGGTGTATTATTAACTCAATGAAAAAATAGTTCTTAGATAAAGATATTCCACCTGTTCAGCTTGTAGCAATCTTTCTCTCATCCTCCATTATAGAGTTCTAAATTCTTTTTCAACTCCCTTGATGAAAAAAAAAAGAAAAAAATCATATCCAGCAGTAAAAGTCTTTCACTTGCATTCCTCTCACTTGCCTCATATAAAAAGGCTAATAATAATAAAAGGAAAAACTTATAAATCAACAAGAAACTTGTTTGTGGGGAATTAAGATTGCAGGCTACAAGTACTTGGAAATCCAAGGCAGCTCTGCACAGTCCTTCAATGCAAAAGCCACATCATCGCTGTCATAAAAGCACAGGTGAAATAATTTAAAAAATTGGCACACAAAGTTCCCTCAGACAAATGATGAGAAAATAATGGAAATCTGACCTTGGAAAGTTCAGCTGCAATTTCTGCAAGCTATGTCGAGTTCCGGGCTCACAAAGAAGTAATCGGCATTCCCCGAGCTTGCAACTGCAAGGTAATCGAGGTGAGTTTATTTGCATTGAAAGTACACCATCCACTGACCTAGTGATATTTTGGGAGAACAACAATTGATGGATAACAGAGATTAACTGTACTTCCTGATGACAGTGTATCACTACCACCTGTAACCCACACTGTTGCAAATCTTAGATGAATGCATAAAGCATGGGCCAAGAATGCAGGTTTGACCTTAGCTCCAATGGGGATATCTGATGTGAAAACTGAAGTTTAAATGTTTTATAAAGATATATTTTGGCATATGATGAGGTAACCTAACTCAAACATGATTCCCAAACGATGACAGTATCATTTGTCATCCAAAGATTTTGAGCTTTTAACATACCGCTCAATCACAAAGGACAATTTTGTATCAAACAGGAAAAAAATCATAAAATTTTCTGCAAGCTAGCAAAAGAAACTCCAGTATTTCACCCAAACTCTTTCTTTTGAATTGATCACTCCCCAAAATTATAATGTTAGAAATGAATAAAAGATAGAGCTCCATCCAAACCCTAAACAGATAGCCTTTGTTCACTTTTGCAGCAAAATTCTCTTTGACAAATACAAGATCATTGATTGACATAATCTACTTACCCAAGTTTAAAGAGGATATCCCATCCCGGACATTTTTCTCCATGGCTTGCACAGAGAGAAGCAACAGACACTGCAAGCTGCATTGTACACACCAAATACAAACAAGGGATCTAAAACAGCGAACTTCTTAGAAGAGGATACAAGTTTTTAGTTAATTGCACTATACGTTGATCTCGGTCTCCAAGATTAAATGGCTCCAGAAAAGCTCAACGGCCACTTTTAGAGATAGATAGATACACTACAATACTGGGAAAAGTTTATATAAGGTTGCAACCTTAAAATGTAGAATTAAAGATGCACCTCAAAAATATGAAAAAAAGAGAGATTTTGAGTCCCAGAAATAGCACATCTTTCAACATATTATCTAGACCATCCATTTTCAAGATTTTCATATGTTTGTAGATCTACTTCATTTTAACCATTTTTGAAGTTTATAATTTTAGAATTAGATATGAAAATAGATTTTTGGATAATCCTAAGAATTTTTTATACCAAAATTACATGTTATGATAAAATTTGGAGGTGCGCCTTAATTGGATTGTTTAAGGTTGCAGAAGCCACACCCATACATAATTGGCCTTAAATTGTTTCCTACTTGAATTACCTCTGAGGCAGCCAAAATTCCTCAAGAAGCTCACAAACTTACCTTGTCAAAGGTGGTTTCAGCCATCCCCGTTTTGTAGAGCTCGCGGACCAAGGCAACCAGCATGATTTTACTTAATTTTGAACATCCTTTGATCACCTGAGGGAAAAATAAAAACTAATAAATCTATTCTGTAGGCATCAGAAATAAGTCTCGTGAAGGAGGAGAGAACCATAGTATTCTGCATGCTCCATGGGTAACCAAAATTTCTGCTTTTCATCAGAGAGCATAACCACCTAAATTGATCAATGACGGGCTCATGGGGTGGTCAAGCAACATGATCAAGAGACATGGAACTTTTCATCTCAAGCCTAACATTTGTAGGTTGGCATCCCCAGCATTCCAAAGCGAAGCAAATTGTCATGGTTATTAAATAATCCAATGGACCATAGTTCATTTGGGTTGTGACCATCTTGGAATAATGGGCCGAGATGGAGACCAAGTGGAATTGTGGGATGCACAAAAATAGCACACAACCCTCATGATGGTTCATGCACTCAATCACCATCTATTCTATTAGATAATAATATGGTCATGATCCCAATGAAATATGGTTTCTATGGTCATTGGATTTGAGCATATTTTTCTCTGGAGTCATTTTTCATGATTGAGGAACTACTTGAATTGTTCTCACCTGAATATGAGGTGCTTGAAACATTTCATGTATAGCAGCTTCTACTTCAGCCATCCCAACCAGACATTTTCCTGGGAACATAGGAAAATAAAAAGCTGAACTTGTATCTTGTGAAAGCTCAATGTCTCCAACAAGAACAGTACTAAGGCAAATCAATAAATAAAGGAGCGCATCAATATTTCAGTTTATTATTATTTGATTTCTGTAACATCAGATTTCTAGCGTAAATCACCAGTTTCTTTCTTTATTGTGGGTGTCAAAAACAAGAGTGCAACAATCTTCAAAAACCACAGGAATACAGAGTACCGATTTACCAATGTCCCAAAGTGAATAGTGGAACAGATCAGAAACATGGTCAACGAACGACAATGATATCCACTTCAAAAATAGATTCCAAATGGCCTCCAGTCCCCTTCACCCCCAAAAAGAAGACATACGCTATGTACTGGCAGCTATGGCATTACTAGAATATTTTCTGCAAGATCCTACTGCAGTGGTTTCTATTTGAAATACATTATTAGGATTACATGTGCATATGATTAATTGCTTCTCATATTTTTGCATTAAGATCGGGCAAGGCTCACTACCCTGCCGCACCAACTGAAAGTCATTGACATACAAGAATTGGAATCATGAAAGGTGCCCTGTTTGTTCAATATCAGAACAGAATATTACCTGCTTTGGCATTGTGAGAAGAATTTGTGGATCCCACTGTTTGCTTAAGTTGATAATCTGCTAGCTCTGCAGCACGCCGACACAGTTCCAAGGCACGCCGAGCATCCCCCGAAATGGCTGCAACCTGAATGTAAACAAAAGCCCACGAGTATAAATAGATGAACATATGGATCAATGACAATGCATATTGTGCAATATACGATAGCATCCGAAAGAATATCACCCAAAAAAAAAAAACTTGGATGTCTATATTTAACGATCTATACATGCAAGCACGGAAACATATCCAATACAAATGTGAGCTATCTGATATAGGAAACGAAAAGTCAATGAAATTTGTAATCAAAGAGAGGTTTAACATAGCTAGATCAAACCCACCTTTCTTGATGCAAATTCAATCGCCTGATTCTCAAATGCATCAATGCCCTTAAGACGAGTGGATATGATCTCTTGCAGTTGTTGATAAGAATATGGACCAAAACATAGCCGCTGCATACCCATTCTGCTTGTAATACGAGGAAGCAACTTTTCTGGAAGATCCATAGTATTTGCTATCCCTGTACGTAGAACCATTAGCTTTTGACCTATGAACGAATACAACACAGATAACAAAAGAATCTGGCTAAAATTTGACATACCTATGACAACCAACTTGGAGTGTGCTCTAGAGGGCCAATCAAGTACGTTGTATAAAACCTGCGATGTGATGAGAAAGGCATGATTCTAACCAAGATAACAAGTAGATTCTACAGTAAGAATAATCCCCCCATCCCGTTGAGAAAATTGCAGGTTTGTATTAGGTATTATAAGTGTAAATAATGAAAATATAAACTGCAAAGGAAAATATATAAAAGATAACAAGTAGATTCTACAGTAAGAATAATCCCCCATAACCTTTAGCAAATTGCAGGTTTGTATTAGGTATTATAAATGTAAATAATGAAAATATAAACTGCAAAAAAAAAAATTATACCGATTGATTGCGGGTTACTAAGAGATCGAGCTCATCTATAAGTAAGACACAGGGCTGGGTTTCTTCTTTGCTCAACCGATTGCTCTCTGAAAACCGCTCATTTAGCAGGTGAAAGGCCTTCTTCCAGCCAACCCGGTGCCCACTTAATGCTTCATATAGAACCTACAAAAAGTAGCATTTGGTTTTAGCAAAGTTGAGTCGACCTACCAGCAACAAGAACACCCATAAATAAAAATTAACAGCCCATATGTATAAAGCATAGTTGAGGGAACCTTCGGGGTAAGGCCACAGTCCCATCTTAGGAACTCGATCCGTGATTCCTCTAGGGAATCTTATAGGGAGCTGGGTATAGACGAATAGGGATCTCAGTCTACATGAATGTAGGATTCCTTCAAGGAGAAGAGTTGTACTATTAATTGAACTACTAGTATTTTCCTTGGTACTATAGATTTATTTCTTTGTAATATATTAAACTATGGTGCATATCTCATCGTGGTATACTAGAACTACCATATTAAAAAATTACAATCTAATATCATAGTAAGCCAATTTATGATATTGTTAAATTATGTTATTGTAGTAAATTGGAATACTATAGTTATGACATTGGGAATAAGCTAACGTGTATGATAATAGATTGAGCAGGCATCGGCTGAATCCTAATTTTATCATATACTATTATTTTATCTTGTTTTATATATAGTGGAGCTTAGATTCCTCCAAGTCAAAACCTCGATCCCAGTGGCATGGGATCTCGCTCCTAGATATACTAGGATTTTGCTCTTTAACTTGTTGAATGTAAGGGCGCCAATCCTAACCCTAGGGAGCTTCCACCCTATGGTGGTTCGGCGTTTTCCGAACCTATCCTGCTCCCGAACCTGCCCTTGCCTCCAACAACTATGGTACAAAGTTAATGAACCCTATATTCTTTTTCTTTTTCAGTTTGATAATTACATGCTACACCATGTGTAAAACAATGACATATTACGTACAAACTTGTCACCATATTTACCTAAATAGGTAAAAAAATCGTTACCTTGTATATATTCTCTGGAGAGGCCAACTTCAGACTATTTATCTCAACAAAGCGATGAGGCTGTAGCCTTCCTGCATCAACTTCACACTTCAGATGCCTCATCACAGCTAGTACGCTCATAGTCTGCATTTTGCAGTAGATGAAGAAGCACTGCTTAGTACATGTTTGATGTAAACATACTTAGTACATGTTAGATGCAAAGCACATGCTCAGACAAACATTTCACAAATAAAGTACCTGAACCCCTCTAATTGATAAAAAATGTTACCTTGCCAGTCCCAGGAACGCCATGGATATAGAGGCACCTTCCAAGGCATTGATCTCCACTAATTGCTCCTCTGATAAATGCAGCAATATCCTCCATTTCTCTAATAGATAATCAAATGCTTGCATTAGGAACAAAAAAAATTGTCTTGAAAGTCTATGAAAGTACATAAAATAGCATTGGGTGTACTTGTTTCTGCAAGGCAGTGATTTGGGCAATGTTGCTAACAAGAGTGTTGCTTTTGCCCTTTCGAGTTCTGTCTGCTTATGAAACCTCACATGCTCTGGAATTTTCTTAGTCCCTATTCTCTGAAGCCCAAATATTTGCCCTTTTCGCGAGTTCTAAATGAGAAAACCAATAGCTGAAGTACATTAGCCAAACAAACTTAAGTGACGTAAATTAATTGTAATAAGAAAATCTGGTCACCCAAAATTTTAGAAACATGAAAAGCTTCTATCATACAGCTGCCGGTTCATGCATATGACATGAGTTTTTAGCTGCTGAGACTCCTTTCAGACGTTCCTGCTCATATTCATATTCCTCCTCCATATCAGAGCCCGAATCTTTTGAAGAATCCCAGTCTTCAGTGTCTCCATCTGTATAACTCTGGCAAAACAGTGACCAAAATAGTTCCACTTAAACAAATAAGCTCCTAAATGAACTCTTCTTGCATGAGTCCATAGTAAAAAAACCATGTAATGTGCATGATTCAGACCATCCTACCTCTTCGTCATTATCAATATCAGCAATGCGCTTGAAAGTATGCCATTGAACATCATACTCATACTCACAGAGAAAGACATCATCACCATCATTGCTGGATTTTGAAAATTCTTTTGGGGTCATAACATAGCAATGTCTGAAGACAGATTCCATCTACAAAAATGAGAATCATTAATAAACATAGAAAGGAACAAAAAACAAAGGACTTCATAACTTGTCAATAGATTCACAATGTGCAGCACAACTGAACTAATAACAGGTCCTGACTTCTAACAAATGCATAGGTAGGTGTGAATGGATGTATGCATGCATGCATGTATGCATGAATGTGGGGTACGTAGGCAGGCATCAATGTGCGTATGTATATATGCGTATGTAGAACACATGCGTGTGCACACTTATGCATACCAGATCCGCAGCTGCGCGCACTTATGCATACCAGATCCGTAGCTGCGCACACTTATGCATACCAGATCCGCAGCTGCGCGCACTTATGCATACCAGATCCGTAGCTGCGCACACTTATGCATACCAGATCCGCAGCTGCGCACACTTATGCATACCAGATCCGCAGCTGCGCACACCCACATGAACACGTCCACATGTGAACACACATTACGAGCAGATCGAGTTAAGTGAAGAAAGGGCCATCAATTTAGATGAATGTAAGTAGGAAACCATATTTGACATTCGAACACCCACATGAACACGTCCACATGTGAACACACATTACGAGCAGATCGAGTTAAGTGAAGAAAGGGCCATCAATTTAGATGAATGTAAGTAGGAAACCATATTTGACATTCGAACAGATCAAGTTAAGTGAAGAATAGGCCATCAATTTAGATGAACATAAGTATGAAACTACATTTGACATTCGAAACAGCTAACATTCAAGTCAATTCCCAACAATGCGTCAAGCCAAATGATGGTACTGCGTGCAATTAGGACTTTGTATAATATCAATAGTTGCACAATGAGCACTGCAAACTCTAACATTTTCTAGCACTTAAATTTATCATGTAGTATTTGCAGGGTTGATGCATCTTTATTTTATCTCACTTGGGCTATGTCAACGAGTGTAACAACTTGATAGTTTCATAAATTTAAGTTTCAAGTACAAGATCAAATAATTTCATAACGTAAGTTCCTATCTGTGAGCTGTGAGGAAATTATAAAGAATTTGATTTCAGAAGATAATTAATTTGTTGACAAGATTAAACCTTCTCACAAAATAGATCACTTGCTAAGGTCCCGTGTTCATTGTGAAAGGAGTTGGCGAACGAAAGTGGAGCTAACATACCTCAATGTCATCAAAATCATTTGTCCTGAAAATTTCCCGACGCAGATTATGAGGTTGCCTTCCGATCGTTGTCTCTTCAGGAATGAGATACCACCGAGCCTTACACCAATAGTTGCCATCAGTTTCCTTCCATATGCTGCATCCATTTCGAGCCTCAAAAAGTGCATAAAATGTAGTTGTATTAAAATAAACAAAAACATATAAAGGCCTCCAATATCTTGCTAGTTTGGATAGCAAATTACTCCGCCTCAATATAGTAAACTTCAAACTTTGACAATAATTTGCCTTGTCCAGATTTCACTAAGTACAAATTTCTCAATAATACTCTCCAAATCCTCGATTCAGAGGCATGCTGCAAAACGATTCTAGATATGGACAAATTCCAGAAAGGGCTTATGGCATAGATGGTCAGAATGTTGCTTCTTGATTTCCATTCCTACCAGATCCTATGTTAATTTTTCAAAAAAGTAAAAGGACAAATTCAACCACTGGAAATTTATGGAATATTTGCTATGCATGTAGTAATATAGCTACCATTTAAGCAGAAGGTTCAGACAAACCCACTCTGAGCACGTGCCAAAAAGATTCACTCTAATCCACATGTTATCTCTTAAAATTAGAAGATAAATACACCGGAAACCACTGTAAGCCCCGGGGCAGAGAGAGAGAGCATGATCACAATCAAGATGGACAAAGAGGAGGAACATAAGAGGCCATAGAGCATGAATGCATTCAGTTCACTTTTCCTCTCAGAAATCACAATCAGGAGAAACATGAAAAGAGAAAATGCATTCATGCTTTACCTCTCAATACGAGCAGCCCAAAGGTCACTCGAAAGAAGCTTCTCTCTAGCTGTCCTGCTAATCTTCTTCCCTTTTGGTGGCTTTGGTAGTTCTACTACAACCCCATTTTTACGAGCTTCACAAAACCCACAAACCCAATCCCCTTCAGGTACCTCCTTCAATGGAGGCTTGAGACACCTGAGATGAAAACCCCCTAAACATTCATCACACTCGATCATCACAGCTCTCCCTGACCTGAAACAAACCCTACATTCCTCGACCTCTGGATCCTCACCATCAGAGCTTGCATTTTCTCTCCTCTTCACATATACATCATCACCAACTGAGAATTCAGCACCATCGTAGACAATCTTCTTATAAAACACTCTTTTCTTTTTAAGCCCCAGGTTTCCCTTTTTCTCAACTCCATGGCCACTGAATTTCAACGAATTTTGTTCATTTTTCTTGTTTTTCCTTGCATTTTGGCTGGACCTTGTGTTTCTCAACACTACAAGATCATCATAAACTTTCCCCGACTTCCCATTTTTGGCAAATTCCTTCTTCCATTTTCCATTTTTTGTGGCAACATTTTTCCCTGAGCTCCCATCTTCCTCTACTGAATGCCCTGATTTTCCTTTTCTGGAAACCGATCGTCCACCATTTGTGCTAGACACACCATTTCCCTTTCCAGAAAATGCAGAAGCTTCTGGTTCAGCAAACAACCTCTTTCTCTTCCTACATTCTGATATATCTGGAGAGATCGGAGACAACAAAAGCTCAGACGATCTTTCCCCATTGTTTTTTTGAATGCGGGATTTTTTGCTATTTTCACCATCATCAACCAAACCTTTTTTCTCTTGAACAGCTTCTGTCTTTCTAGTACCAGTTCTTTTCCCATTTTTAGAAGGTTTAGGCGTCTCAAATGAATCAGCGTAACTCACTGTGCCTTGTATAGCAGAATGTTCTGGATTGAACGCAAGCTTTCTCGCAGGTCTTCGAGGGGCAGGATTTGATGGTGTGGAAGGAAATGCTAGAATGGATGATGGAGAAATTTGGGTTTCCTGGTCTTCGGATGCTAGGGTTCGCCCGTTTTTGGCATTTGCAGGGGTTTCCTGGTCTTTGGATGTTAGGGTTCGCCGGTTTTTGGCATTTGCAGGGGTTTCGGCCATGGCCATGGCCTCCTCTAGAGAGAGAAGCGATTCATGGGTCTGTGATATGCATTTTCTTTGTAGAGAGAGAATTGGCGGGAAATTTCTTTTTTAATATCCCTTTAGGGTCTGCTAAGGCCACCCGAAATTTTAGTAACCCACACAAACTATGCATCCAAACCATCGGTGGCATTATTGTTTTTAAAATTTAATTGTCTCCTTCTCAGCCATTGTTTAGCGGAGGCAATGGAACCATACCCCATTGGGTATGGGTCGAGCATTTTGGATTCAACGGGTCAGGTTCGGGTCTAAAATTTAGACCCAAACATTATACGGGTCTGGGTACACTCTAGAGGGACCCAACACATATCTGGAAACAGTTAGAAATAAAATATTTTGTAAGAAAAAATTACAAAAAAAAAAAAACCAAGACTTCACTTTCTATATAACTTACCCCAACCTAACATTTTCTCTCAATTTTTTTCCAAAAATATACTTTCTATGCAAATACCCACCAACCAAATAAAAAATAAAAAATGCTTAAAGTACGATCTCTTACTTTTACATTACCTACGCCTCTCTCTCCTCTATGTAAGTGCGCTCCAGCAGTGCAACACTCTGGAGTCACAGCGCTTCGGCAATGGATCATGTGCTCCAACACTGTGTAAGTGTACTCCGGCAGTGGAATCTATAGTCACAGCGCTCCGGCACTATGTATGTGTGCTCTGATAGTAGATGTGTGCTCCGGTAAGTGCGCTTCGACAGTGCAACACTTTGGAGTCACAATGCTTCGGCATTGTCTATGTGCACTCCGGCACTATCTATTTGTGCTCCAGCACTGTGTAAGTACGCTCCGTCAGTAGAATCTAGAGTCATAATGCTTCGGCACTGTGTATGTGCGCTTCAGCAGTAGATGATACGCTCCGATACTGTGTAAGTGAGCTCCAGCAGTGCAACACTCTGGAGTCACAATGCTCTGGCACTATCTATGCGCTCCGACAATGCAACACTCTAAAGTCACAACGCTCCGGCACTGTCTATGCGCGCTCCGGTAGCGCAACACTTTAAAGTCACAACGCTCCGACACTATCTATGCGCGCTCCGGCAGTGCAACACTCTAAAGCCATAACGCTCCGGCACTATCTATGCATACTTCGGTAGTGTAACACTCTGAAGTCACAACACTCCGGCACTATCTATGCGCTCTCCGACATTGGATCATGCGCTCCGAAACTACGATGGCTCGTTCCAGCAATGAGCTTCGAAAGTCAACGTCAAATTTGGCCAAATTGATTTTTGTGTACGGGAAGGGCATTTCTGTCTAAAAAAAATGAACTTTTTCCCTTGGGGGATATTTGTATAGAAAGTGTGTTTTTTGGGAAAAAAGTGAGAAAAAAACTTAGGTTGGGGGTAAGTTACATAGCAAGTGTGATCTTGGAGGTTTTTGTAATTTTCCCTAAAATATATTACTTTAAACCCTATTCATTTGGTGTATTAAGGATCGTATATAATTAAAACCAGGTTTTTAAAAAACGTCGAGTCGAACCGGACTCGCCCGGTTCGACTCGAAATTCGCGAAAAGGGACCGGATCGGTTGAAAAATCGGAAGTCGTCCGGTTCTAGAGAGAACCGGACGATTCCGCACAATGACTCGCCGATTCACTATACGGAATCGGCGAGTCCATTACGGTTTTTTTTTTTTTTTTTTTTTTTTGTAATCCATTATAGATTTTTTTATAATACTTGATCGATTTTTTTGTAATCCATGATCGAATTGTTTTTG